AAAAAAAAAAAAAAAAAAAAAAAAAAGTAAAAGTAAAAACTCTGACACCTCAGGAATAAATGGCCTGGACACTCACAGGATGAGCTCTCAAGGCCAGAGACATTTTACATTTTAATCTTCTTTATAAGTGGTGTTTGTTCAGCACTGCATTACTGTTTCAGAGGGAAGAACTGATTACTCTCTCACACTAGTACAGAGGAGCCCAGGGGTAGGGGAACAGGCATGAATACAGCAATCCCTTTGGTATGGCAGCGTTGTAGTAAGCATGATGGATCAATGTGTGCCTACCGCTTTGCAAATACCCCTCCATTCTTAGCATTTTAATGAAGTGCAATTCCCTTTTGCCATTTAGGAGCTACTGGATAACCAACAAAAAAACTACATCACACAGTCCCTGTCTCCCTGAATCATATCACCCTTCCCAGGTCCCATCTCTGTTCCTCCCGCTACCCTGCCTGGCAATGGAAAGAAATGTTCTTTCTTTCAGTAGCATCACTATTGCCATAATTTGCAGCAGGCAAAGAAGACATTTGAAAACTGAAAGCTGCTTTTTACTCTCACTGTTTGTCTTTACCTCCTGAGCAAAGATTTAAAAGGCTGGATAATGTTATCTGTGATCCTAATTCTCTGACTCGTGCTTAGGGACTCCTGGGGTGGCAGAGACTGGCAGGGATCCACAGTGGTCTGGTGAAAATCAGAATCAGGATCACACAGGTAATTTTCTGGCTGTAAATTACTCTCTTGCCTTTCTTTTGTAATGGGATCCTTTCGTTAGTGTGAACATGGATTTTTCCACACCTGTTCTTACCTCCTGCAGGCTGCCCCCAAGACTGGAAAAAATATGGGAAAAAATGCTACTTCTTTTCTCAAACACGGGGAGGAAAACACTGGAACGCCTCCCGGCAAGAATGTATTGACATGAAGTCAGACCTGGTGATCATTGACAACAATGAAACACTGGTGAGATCTGAATCCATGGGGCTGATTCTAGAATTTCTTGACCTGTATGCCAAAGGACTGATGGGTTACGCTTGTGTCTTCCCATGTTAGATGTCTTTGGGGGTCTATAATCTACCACTAGCTGTATACAACAAGCGCCTCTGTATGGTAGCTATCACCTTCACAGTAAGATGTATCTCGTGGCTTGAAGTCTTGCATCTGGAAGCTTCTGTTCCCCAAGCATGCTCCTATGCAAATGAGCAAACTCTCCACCTAGCTGACTTGTGTTTTAAAGAGATTTAGCACACAAACTAAGACCAAGCAAGTCAAACAGACACTTATCTGTGAGAGCCATTGCTTTGACAAAAAACGAAAAGGCTTTCCCATCACAATCAGAATAGAAAAGTGTCTCCAGGTATCAAGTCACACCTGGCTAACCACGATGTATATCTTTAATGGTATCACAAGTGTGTGATCACAAGTTATTTTAGTCTGTTCCTAAGAAGCCCCAGGAAGAGAGATGAAATTAAATAAAATTGGAAAAATTCAGACTCTGAAGCTGTGGAAAAAGATGGTGTGGCTGGATGCACACTGTTCTCTTGGCTGTTTAGCACTAAGCTTTCTGTGGTGAAGGAAATGTAGTTTTAATGTATCAACGTTGTTTTTTTTTCCTTTCTAGCAATATCTTATTTCACAATCAAGCGGTCATTACTACTTACTTGGTCTCACCTACTCTGAGACCGAGCATAAGTGGAAGTGGATTAACAACGTGGAGCATAGCCCAGACATGTAAGTCTATTCCAGCAAGTCACTGTGATGCAACACGTGGAAGCCAGAGCCACACCAGGAAGTACAAGCAAGATCAGGGACTGCAATTTGTAGCAACCTTGAGATTCAGGCCTTCAGCACATGCCTGAGACAAGTCAAATGAAGCCTGTAAATCACATGGAAACACAGGCATGTCACATCAGGAGGGCAAGAGAGGACACAGCTGTAGTTCTGGCAGGGAAGGAGGAATCTGGCTAGATGGAGTTCAACGGGGAAAGAAAGGATATACCAGACAGGTACAAGAGAGACTGTGATGTCAGTGCTATTGAACGGAGGCTACCAAAGAAGGGAAGGTCTCTGGATAGGCAAGCATAGCATATACACTTCTGTTGAGGTCTGGGGATGAAAATTAAGGAATGGGAGGGAGACTCCAATAAGGCAGCTTCTAATCCTACTGAAAATAATATTGCTTAGCAGCAAGGCCAGGTGCCACTCTGTCTTTCATGGAAGTGATGCTGACTGCCTTGCATCCAGCTAGGTCAAGGAATACAACTAAATCTGCCTTTCTCTCCCTGTTCAGATTTCCTATAGAAGAATTTTCTAACTATTTCTGCGCTGTCATCAGGCATAAAGTAGAAACTGCATCTTGTGAAGGATCCTCAACAACACGAACTATGTGTGAAAAAGCTTCAAGTACTTCAGAAAGGCAGAAGGAGAGCTAAAAAAAAAAAAAAAAAAAAGGTCTGTAGAGCTCGGGAGCTCGGGCATGGAATGAGTGAGGAAGTTAGACTTGATGTCTGGCTGAGATGAAGCTATGCCAAACTTTTCCTATGGAAGCCTCTTCACCAGTTCAGGAGGACGTTTGCTCAAGGCCAGATTCTGACTAAATGATGCAAATTAAATTTAGAAAAATGCCAGTGACACAGAAGATATTTTCAATGCAGCTTCACTGTGTGAGACTAGCCTCCATTTCCCTCGGATGTGGGAAGAAGGTTTGGTGAATGAATAGGCCTGTTTGTTATTCAATTTATTTTTAGGTTTGAAATTATTAATTACAGGAAAACTAGATATAATTAATGCTACTTAGCAATGTTTGGTATGAGACCCAAGTGATGTGTTGACATATGTGATCCCAGAGAACGCTTCTGGGTCACAAGCCTCCACCAGCTGGTGTTAAAGCTGTGGTAAATACCGTAACTTGGTGGCATCTGATCATTCCTATTTCTTTGTTGGCTCAAAAGCACCCAGTTGTCTTCAAAGGGCCAGTAAATCATAGATCCAGCCTTGATGAAGGGACAGCATCTTCCACTTGATGTTGGATTAAATTTATTCTGGCGCTGGGCTCCTGGGGGTTCACTGACTGCTATGGGCAAGGGACCAGCTAATGCTTCCCAAATACCATCTCTGAGATGTTGCCTGTTCCTTTATATCTAGACAAAATATAGACTGCTAGACTCATCTCAATAACATAGGCAGTTTTCAAGCAAATTTTGAAGGAAAAGGTGATACAAATCACAGAGGTCAATGGGAGAAGAAAACCCAACGTGAGTATGTTCACAGGGACAGCTTTCTCTGAGGAAACAACTGACTCATCTGAAATCAGGCTTTTATTAAAAAATTTAATTAGGGTTCCACATATGAAATTATTAACAAGATTTTTGAAATGTCATATATAACACAGTCAGTAGTGGCCTTGTTGGAAAACGCAGACATCTGCTAGTTAACGCCTGAAGTGACATAAGGTTATGTCTGAATAACGCAAGACTGGAAGACAATGTCAAAACAGGTGAAGATCCAAGCCCAATACAGTAAGAACTACATGGCCTGAGGGAAATGTAGCAAAAGAAATGGAATGAAATGTAACAGCAGAAATTGCAGTGGTACAGGCTAGTCACAAGAATTAAACTGGGAGTTTAGCAGTTAGAAATGACAAAAGACCTGTGCACTTCAGTCCATGCCAAGTGACAGGGAACTGCCCGTGTAGCATGGCTGTGAAAAAAAAAAATTAAAGAAAAAAAAAAAAAAAGCAAGCAATCCTTGCATGTACTGGATGAATATTTCCAGTAGAGATGAGATATATTACTACCATCCTACAAGAAAAAACATCCTTATCCGTAGTAACATGAAGGGTTCAAGCCACCCATGCTGAACCTCGTCATCAACGGTAACGAGTCCAAGAAATAACTAGCAGAGCCAGAATATGGGAAGGATGGATCTTACAAGAGATGATTAAGAAAGTCTGCATGGAATAGCTTAGTGAAATGACACCCATGGAGGAACGCACTTATTGTCCATAAGTGTATCAGAGTCGGTTAGAATGGAGGGAGAAAAGTTAAGGTGAAGTACAAATCTGACATGAAGTGAGGAATAAACTGTCCACTTTAAGATGAAAATTTTATTTAGGTTAAGATATGTCAGGATTACCTTGAAAACCAGCCCAGAGTTAAAAATAAAGCCTGTTCAGAAACCATGTTAATGTTTATAACCTTAACATATAAGATGGATATAAGATTTTTTTTAATTTTTTTAATTTGCTCTGAAGTCTGTTTCCTAATTTCCCAACCTAGTTTTTAGAAAATTTAACATGAAATATTTGATTATCGGGTGAATGTTTGGCCATGTCTTCAAGCGACTGAGACCTGGGGCTCTGGATTTGGCTCTGAAATGTACAACTTCACAAGAAGAATTATATGGATAATTGGGATTGGAAATAATACCCAGCCCTTGGGCAACACTGTGCCAAGCTCCTCCAAAACTCAAGCAGTTCATCCATTCATAGTAAAACAGTGCCTCTCTATGGGAAAAGCCAAAGCCTAGTTATAATAGCTCAGAGGAAATGAATTAAAATATTTTATAGTCTTCACCTATTTCTGCGCATTTCACACTTATGGGATATAATAACTTCAGCATCTGCCTGAATTCAGAGTCTACCTGAATTCTGGCCCTTGTACTCATATGTTCTTATGCCCCATGACAATACAGTGTAGACAATTCTCTGCTGCTTGACTTCTTTTTTTTTTTTTTTTTTTTTCTTTCATGCTTAAACTTCTGCAAGTATTTCTGCTAATTAAAAAAAAAAAAATAAAATCAGTGTTTCCTCTCTTTGGAAAAACATCTGCAAGTGGATGGGGGAAGGATTATCAACATAATGTCTACTCCAAGAAGTGAAATGGGCCAGTATCCTTTTCTGTCTCAGATGACGTTTGATCTGACACCGCTCACTTCTCTGCAGCGAAGCTTTCCGTCGAGAGAAGTTTGGCTGCAGGAAAACTGTGTAACCAGAATAATCCTTGGCACATGCTAGTCACCAGATCATACTTAGCTTTTTGTGGGAGAACGCAAGCATTCCAGGCTAAATCTGAGCAAAAGAAAGTATCACAACTCAACAGCACTGAGTTTTAAAGCAGCCTGCAAGCAAGACAATATCCAGAAAGGTTTTGCTGCTATTCTTATCTCTGTCTGTCCTGGTTTCAGCTGGGATACAGCTTTTCATTTTTTTTCATTCTTAGTAGGTAGAATAGTGCTGCATTTTGGATTCAGTATGGGATTTGATATGAGAAGAATGTTAATAATGTACTGATGGTTTTAGTCGTTGCTAAGAAATCAAGGACTTTTCGACCTCTCATGTCCTGCTAGTGCACAGGTACACAATAAGCTGGGATAGAGCAGAGCCAAAACAATTGGCCAATGGAATATTCTATATCATATAACGTCATGCTCAGTATACAGATAAGGTTGACCAGGAAGCTCACTATCACTTGAGGGATTGTGTCTTCAGGATTCTCTCTTCTCTGGGATCACTGCCCGGGAACAGGCTCAGTTCGGTCAGTGGGTGGTGAGCAATCACACTGTGCATTACCCGTTTGTATTTTCTATTATTACTATTATTATTATCAATATTATTTTAATGTTATTTTATTTCAATTATTAAATTGTTTTTATCTCAACCTATGAGTATCTTCCTTACCCTTATCCCTTCAATTCTCCCTCCCATTCACTGGGGCTGAGGGAGGGTGAGCAAGCAGCTGCGTGGTGTTTGGCTGCCAGCTGGGATAAACCCATGGCATCGTCCTTCTTATATTCTGCTTTGTCCAATCCCTTTTACAGCGCAATGCTTTCCTTGAACACAGCGTGAAGTGCTGAGGTCACAGCCACAAATCAGGGCCTAGTTTAGCAGGTGCAAATATATGATTAAAAGTTGTTTCCTCTGCAACCCAAACACAAGATGAGAAACAACTGACAGAGGGAAAAGAAATTGTGATTCTGTGGTTGCATCATTGGCCAAGGAATGGCACACCTGTTACCTGGACCATTGATGGAGGACCCTCCACCCTCTGTGTGTGTGTTATCATTCGCATTCTAACTACATATCTGGTTATATCAAGGGAAAGAGATTGTTGGATGGTGCAAATTTCTACTTTGGAAAAGAGAGAAGCACTCTTTTCCTTCATTATAGGAAATAATAGATATGATCAGTTTTCAGCCAATAAATCCAGAGGTCTCACGGTGGAAACTCTCGCTAGTGTTATCTTCTAGATGTGTAAGGTATCAAGACACATTAGAGATGCACTGGCTAAGAAAGCAATGGGCATGTTGATTGATAGATAAATTAGCAGATGGGTAATATTGGCATAATAATGTGATAATAAATCCTCTTCTAGCATATGAATGGAAGATCCCTTGACATGCTACTTTCTCACAGCTTGCTTAGATAAACAGAATATCACTGAGGGGCAAGGAGGGGGAGTAAGGAAAAAACCTCAGAATAAACTTGTGAGTTGGAAATAGTCCTGTCCCTGGCAAATGACCAGAGCAAATGAGAAACATCCTATTGAAATCAGCTACTCAGAAATAACTGACTGCGTTTCTGTGTTTCGGAGAAGGCTGTGGACCTTGAGCATGTGTGTGTGTGTGAAAAGAATGACAAAGTTGCAAGTCTCAGGAGGATTTAATGTTCATTAGACAACATAAAGCATGACTAGAAGCAATATCATGTATTTTCAATGACGTTCTCAAAAACAGCCCAGACACAAGACAATAAGGATGAAGATTCTGATTTTCTTTTTCTTTCTTTCTTTCTTTCTTTCTTTCTTTCTTTCTTTCTTTCTTTCTTTCTTTCTTTCTTTCTTTCTTTCTTTCTTTCTTTCTTTCTTTCTTTTCTTTCTTTCTTTCTTTCTTTCTTTCTTATTTCAGACTGAAATTCTGAAAGCGACAATTTCAGCTGTGCTGCAACTGAACTAAATGCTGTGAATGATCTGTCTTGTCCTGTCCCACCTTGTTAGATTACAAAAGTATACTCAACTTCCATGTTAGACAGGAGTCTGGGATAGGAGACAATGCCAGATCTGAAAATTAGCCACAAGGACAGGTACCTATAGACCAGCACGTTCCTACAGATTATTAAGAACATGGATAGCAGCACTTCAGCAAGTTCCTTGGAAATGGATTGGACTTGGCAGATGAAAATGCACTGATCTTGCAGTAAAATGTACAGATTCCAAATTTCTATCATTATCTATCACAGACAATGAAGATTTGTGTAGTTGAGCTCAACGATATGAGAAGTGCAATGCATGACTGTTTCTCTAACAGTTTCTTCCTGGCCCAGCTCTTATGAAATTCACCCTGACACAAACCACTTCGTACGAGGATGTAAGTTGAGATACTGTAGATGGAGAGCATCAGAAATAAGAAAATGCAGATGAAGCTTCAAGAGCAGCAACGGAAACTGTATCCAAGGCTATTTTTAAAATCTGCTCTAAAACCGTCCTCAGATGTATCCACCACCACTCCAGCTATTTTCAGTGGCAAAGTAGAGATTTTTGATATGCCAAATAGCTTTAGCACACAGATACCACACTCAGGATCCTCACTGCTTTTCATCTTGAGAGAGAAATCTCTTACTTTACTTTATGGAC